ATTCTGTGTTACTTTTATGAGGGCAACTTTTAATGTTTTTTTTTAAAAAAATACCAGTAATGTTAATTCAACCCACACCAGCTATCATTGGTATCCTGTGCCACTGCCTACGCATATGTAGTCATCTACAGTTCTGTCAGGTGGAAAATGCTGTACAGAAGGCCAGCTGCATGCTACAGCTGGAAAAAGAAAAACCCAATGCAAGGTGTAACTTAGTGTGAAAACAAACTGGGTAATGCACGAATTACAAGCACAGACATTTTTCCCCAGAGACCATGTTTTCTTTTGATCCTAACTTTTACAAACTTTAAGTCTTTAGGACTGAAATAGGTGGTGTCCCAAGCTGGATTGCTTTTGCTCTTGTAAAAAAATTCTTGGCCAAACAAAATTTGTTGTCCAGCATTTCTCCAAGGTTGGGTAAGTGCAGAAATGAAAGCAGGTGGAGAGGTAGAAGTCAAAACTCATGCCTGAGAAATAAGTGTGGAGTACAATAGGGCAAAAGATGAGGTTTTGGGGGAAAATTGTGACAACGGAGAGAAGTAGAGAAGTGTGAGGAGCTAGAGGAAAATATGAATATTTGCACAGATTTTGGAAGCAAGTGCTGGAATGTGTTAGTCATGTAAGAAGAAATCAAAAAAAGGAAGTATGAACGCATCAGATGAGGTTATATACAGAATGTTTCCTTCCCAAATCTGTAGTTCAACATTGTAGCTCTGGGTCTTGCTGTGGGTGGCTTCAGCTACCCACAAATGGCTTGTGAAAGTTGCTTTCAAATGTTGTATCTCGGTGTCTACAGGTGTCTTCAGGAGTTCAAATGGTGGAATTCTGTGCTGGGGCTCTGAAGAGACAAAATCAGTAGACAGGACAAGCTGGGCAATTAATTTTGTTCTGTAGGATATGAGGTTTGTGTCTGCATCTGTCTGTATGGTGCAATTTTTAATAAGTCACATACTGTTTCCCTTAGCACCTTCATTTTAGGACAGTCTTCAGATGATTCAGCATGGTGTAGGAAAGACTAGGATAGGGTACTTTCCTCTTCATAGAAATTAAAAGTTATATATGTGAAGTAGGCAGGAGACTCATAGAAGAGAGGGAATGGTCTCATGGTTAGGAAAACTGGCAACCATGAGAATGGGATTCTATTCCTGCTTTTACCGATAAGTTCCTATTAAAGGTGGCCAAATTGCTTTGACCAAAATTTTCCATTGGCCACTAAGTACTCATTTTTGGATTTTCTACAGTGGGCCAGATTGGCAGACTGCTCTCCCAGCTGCAGTTTAAAGTCATTGATAGTGTGCTTTGGCCATATAAAACCCTGTACAAATACTAAGTAGTTAAGGAAAATCAGTACTCTCATTTCTTAGATTAAGAACCCAAAATCCATGGAAACTTTTGCCATTTTTGCCCATTATCTCCATGCCTGATTTTATCCTTATAAAATGGGCATGATAGGAGGGAAAAAGCCATTTCCCCTACAGTCAGTTCCCCTTCTGAAGTCAGTTAACATTTGTGAATCACTTAGATAACTTTGGTGAAAGCTCTAGCATACTCCAGAGGAATTTATTAATTTTCCTTTTTAGTATAGTGTTGAAGTGTCATACTAAATACCTAATTATTCTTTTATTATAGGAAGTATGAGTCCTGCAGGGGGGGAGAAAAAAGTGATTATGAAATGAAAACCACACTCCAGGGTATTATCATGATGGAGACAAATGGATTGCCCAGTGAAACGTTCAGTTTAGGAAATGTTGAAATTAAGTGCTTGATTTGACTGTATGGGGAGTGTGTTCATTTTGGTTTAGGGAAGAAGAGGGGGAGAAAAGACGAAGGCTTTTTTTTGAATAAAATATATTTAGAGAGTGAATTTCCTGTGGTCTAGGGTGATAAAAAATACTTGACAGGCAGACTCTGTGTATGGGGGGGTTCCTGACCAAGAACATGGTACCTAAATTTGTTCCCGCTAAAATCAATAAAATATCTCAGATTGCTTGTAGAAATGTTTGTGGTGTGCATTGCAACAAGTATTCAGTATCCACACTTCAGAACTGCTCTGGGCCAATGGGATTGCAAAATATCTGTCAGCTTTGGCTGTTACTACAGCAATTTTTCTCTTTAATGGGTAAAATAGGTGGTGTTTATAGAAAAATAACTGTCTCATGAGAAGCTGTGCAAAAAGTTCCATTCAAAACCATTCTGTTTATATATAGTTTTGTTGTTTGTTTTCTTTTCTTTTTACTTACTACTGTGGACATTTGCATGAAAACAGGATATTTCTCCTTCAAATTGCAGTCATGGACAGAATAGCTACTATGCCAAAATGGAGCCAACCCACTTCAAAGTAGTAAACTATTTTGCTCACCAAATCTGTTTCTTGTGTGTATGTAAAGTTTTGAGCACTTATTTTCCTACCTAAATTTAGGGGCTGGCTTTTTTGTGTGTGTGTTAGTTCTGTAAAACCAACAAAACAATATGGATATAATAAAATGAGAATATATTAGTGAAAACATTAAATGAGTTAAAAAAACCAATAACATAAATAACATTTATGTTTTAGTATTTACAGTGACAGACAGCAGGGATAGAAGTATTTTTGTTATGTGTACTGACTTTTTTTTTTACACAGCTTAGAAACAATGATAAATACTCAAGAGAGAAATAGAAAAGCTGAGTCCTGTTTTGGCTGATGATGATCGGTAGAATTAATAAAGGCAGGCTTCTCTTAAGAATGTTTGTGTTCTTTCTGATGGACAAATTTGACTTTTCCAGTCTCAGGTTGAACGTAATATTCTACCAATTTGAGAGATACATTTTTACTGACAACTGGCATATTTTTTTCTGGTTCAGCAATGTTTTATAATGCCCTTAAGATTTACTTTAGGGGTTCAAGGCTGAATGAGTATACGTTAACACCCATGTTCCTATATGTATCTGCGTCACTTAACAGCTTAGTCCCTGGCTTCTGGTCCATCTGGGTGCACAGGGAAAGCTCTCAACTGCCCAGATAGCTCTGTGTCATTTATTTCTCTGGCAGGAATGAGTAGGAGAGTGGGTGCGGCGTGCTGCCAAATCCTCAACCCCTGTAGCCCTCATTCTAGCAATAACGAAGGCAGGAGCACGAATCGCTGAGCCTTCCAGCTGGAGGCAGCTCCAGCCACAGCTGTCTTACAGCTGCTCTGCCCTGTAGAGGCTCACTTGCCCTGGACTAGGAGACCACAGTGGCTTCTGGCTTAGAGCATGCTTTTCCTGATCCACCCCCTCTCAATCTAGGGTGGTTCTCTGAAAACCGATACCTATCTGTGCAAAATCTGCTGGACGAAGCCGTCATCTGTCTGTACAACTGCAGGGTTTATAGTCACCGTACTAATAAGTAAATAGTCCCTCTCTGGTTAATAAATGGAACAGCAGGGTTTCAGGGCAGGTGAGCATAGACTTCTGACTGTAAAGATTTGCAAAGTAATTAAGAGTGGACAGGCTCCTGTTTGTATTATGCAGATCAAGTTTTTCAATGTCGTGAGTGCCACTTCTTCCCAAAGCTACCTGCAGATATTTCAGACAATTTTTTTTTCTCATTTGAACAAATAAGCACCCCACTGATTTTCTTCTAATGTAACTAACCTGTATTTGGCTCTGAGCACCCAATTAATTAATAGTCTCTTTACCTCCCCGGGGCCATATGAATTTGTGATTTGCAAATAAAAATTACAAAAACTCTGTAAAATACACCTTGCCATTCTCCATGCAGATGTAAAGTGCCTTTTTTTGCCATGCCACTTCAGAGTCAGGGTCCATTTGCCTAGGCCAAACACCATTTGAATGTGACTGAATAATACCAGGACCCAAGCAGTGGAAAGAAACATCAAGGCCTCTTTTGAGAAGTTTGTCGCGTTTATTCCTATTTTATACCTGCTCCATAGGTAGTTTACACTTGACAACTTTTTTAGTTGCTTTCGGCTCCGGCAACTAATAATGCATGTTCACATTGTCCTTTTTTTTTTTTTTTTTTCCTTCCTTTCTTTTTTTCCCCCCGTACTGTAGTACTTGACGCAGGATTGTGTCCTAATGAAATATTTGCAAAGTAATTCAGCATAAATGTGCTGGTTAGTTTCTTTTGATTATCTACTGGCGATATTCAGTTCCCACTTAGTTTGTTCAGTGCTGCTTTGGCAAACTGTTACAGATTTTAGCAGCAGGCAGTTCACAGTAATTATATAATACACTAAGTAAATATATGATAAATGAGCAAATGTAAACCAAACAAGAAACGTAACCCTGGGGACCAACTGGGCCTGAAATTCTCATGGATAAGCACAGCAGGTGAGCAAAGGAATAGGATAAGAATTTCTTAGTGCCTGACTGCCACAAATATGTCAATGGAGCTGAGTCAGCATGGGAGGAGTGCAGTAATTTGCCTTTGATTCAAAAGCTAATAGCTCACCTTCTGGGTGATGCGGAGAGCATTTGCCGGAAATGCTGATAACTAACCTTCAAGAGCTCTGCGCCACTGCTCTTCAACCCATCTCTTGTGCTGCCGCGTTCCAGGGACATTCCACTGGAAACAATAGCATGGCACAGAGCTGCTAGAATAGCCACCACTCAGCATCAGACCAGCAGCCAAAAAATGTAAATTATACCAGTCATCTTGTTAGAAGCTGCAGTTTAAGAATTCATTTGCCTTTATGAATTGTTTTCTGAAAATGTTGCTTTCACTTTGCCTTTGTCAGGTCAATATACACAGCAGATATATATTATGTGCACAAATGAATATTTAGCAGTATAATTTATATTTCTTTTGTGTAGGATTTCTTATGTAAAATATTCTTTTGCTGTACTATTCCTCGAGCATTTTGCCCACTAGAAACAAGGCCTTTATCTGCCTTTCTTTCTCCCATCTCTGTTTAAGTTTTTCTGTATAGAAATACATATAGTTATTGCGTTGATGATTACTTTTCTGTTAAGTTGTCTCTCTTCCTGACCTCCAGCCTTTCTGTTTTTATTGCCAGCTCATGGATGCTCTGACTGTAGGATCGTGCTAACTGACCCCTCTGGAGTTTTCACTTCTCCATGCTTCCCCAATGATTATCCCAACAGCCAAGCGTGCAAATGGATCATCCGAGCACCTCATGGATTCATCATACAGCTAACATTTATTGATTTTGACATTGAAGAAGCTCCAGGCTGCATTTATGATTCACTGACATTAGACAATGGAGAAAGCTCAATGAACCTTTGTGGCATCACTGCCAAAGGATTATCCTATAACTCTACTGGAAATGAAATGATCGTGTCATTTAAGAGTGACTTCAGTATCCAGAAGAAAGGTTTTAATGCCAGCTATGTACGAAGTAAGTAAATCCAAAGCATTTCATCTCTCTTATAGATGTTAGAAGGAAATGTCCTATAAGGATTAGAATGACGCTTCCTGAAGGAATCAAGTCCTCCATGAGAAGGGAAAGGATGGGGAGGCTGCAGGGTAGAACTACAGAGTTCTGCACATTTTTTTAACTAATTTGTTTTTCTTTGGATGAAAATAATTTATTTTATTCTGGGACATGACATCAGATGTGTTAGAAAAACTTTTCACATGCAAACATTTTAGGCCTAGCAGTGCCTCTCCCTGCAGATTTATGCTGGAGGGTTTGGAAGCAGGACACCTGTCCTTCAGGTCGGCGTACCTGCAGAGGGACATAGAGGCCTAGAGGAGATCATGAGCGGGAACTTAGCTGAGCCAGAAACAAGGCCAGCCTGGACCTCTGCCAGTGTGAAATGCCCAACAGTGGGGAGGAGTTTGTGCAGAAAGCAGAACTTCTCAGGGTTTCTTCCAGCCTCTAGAACAAACTCCCAGAGATGAACTGGCATTGCAAAATGGCTACCTTTTGTTCCAGTTCCTTGACCTTTCTTTCCATTCCTTAAATGCATAGCACCGCTTAGATTTTAAAAAGCCTAACAACTGCAAAAAAAAAAAAAAAAAAAAGACATTCGTACATTTTCCCCTAGAAGATAAGGGTACAAATAACATGTGATTGATGTTTGTTTTGTTGTTTAAAGTACTAATTAGAAGTTGCTCTCACATGACAGTAAAGGGCAGCAAGATACTGGAGGGCATTAGGATGATCACTTACAGGCCCCATATGCTACTCACCATTCATTCCACTTCAGGGTTATAGTTTACAGTTGCATGTTCTCAGTAGGCCTTCTTTCTGTTGAAGTCACACACATTAGAATGCATACTAGTATTGCACTGAGCATTTATATTATTGTAGCACACTTATGTTCTGCTGGTTGGCTGGCTCCTGTAAAAACACCGAGCAGGGATGTTTGCAGTTATCTCTTCAGTCACAAACTCACAAACACATCTTCCTCATGATTTTTTTTTTTTTAATATTTATTACACATATAATATTTTAAAATAATTAAGATAGTAACCCCCAGGAATCATAAAACAAAAGTAGTCCTGATCATGCTGGCAAAATTTGTGTGTAGTTCTGAAAAGAAAAAAGGTAATGTCATATCAGAGGAGCTAAAGATACTTCTTTCTACTGAGGTCCTTTCATGCTGATGAAATTAATGTAGTAATAATTCTAGGAGCACCTGTTATTTTCTGAAAGTAGAAGCAAATTTTCTGAAAGGTTTCTCCATTTGAAAATAACAGCTTTTGCTGTATTATAAGAAGTTGTAAAATCAAGTGGATCATGAAAAATGATATGCAATCAGATTATGCAAAATGATTTATTTCTTTATGCCTGTTTAATATTTTAATGTTTAAGTATGACTGTAACATATAAGATGACTTATAATTGGAATTGAAAGATGCAGTGTTGCCCTCAGATGTGTTAGTGTGGAGAAGAGGAAAGATCCACAGACATAGTCAGAGAACCATTTGTGTATATATATACACTATAGGTAATGTATTTTTATGAAAGCAAAAATAATCCCTCCATGCCAAATTGAATCATACCTTATGTTCACGGATAGCACCATTAAAGTTAAATAGTCCTGGAAGATATCCTTTCATTTTGAATAAGACTACTCCCCAGTGTAAGTAAAGGTATCAGTGACCTTCACCAGTGACTTGTATTTTAATGGTTCACATATGTATTAGTTCAGAAACTCTATGTTAAGGCTTGCTGTTAAGTATCTAGGCTAAGGCTGCTGAATTTTGTTTCATTACTCCAAATCTGTAACTCCCACCTGACCTCTTGATTTTGACCATGGATGCCAGGAGAGCCGGCTGCATGCATCTAGGGCAGATTATAACTGTATTTTGCTTATTGCCAACAGTTGTGCAATTACACTGGGTACAGAAGATAGTCACAAAGATCATGGCAACATTTAAGCTGGCAATGGATACAGAAAAGGGTCTTGGTAAAGGGATGATAACGTATGCTTTCATTTCAAGTTATAAAAGCATGTAGACAATAGGACATCAATGCACACACACACTGAAATTACAACTCATCTACGTGGCAGATCTCAGTGCTACCCTCTCCTGTCCTTGCAAAGAGTTTCCAAAGCCACTGGAGAGATGGTACACCCCCTCACTTCAGGTTCCCAACGGAGTTTCAAAGCTCCTTTGTCAAGCTGACACCATTGTTAGTACTACGAACATGATACCTGGGCAAAATCATGGATTTCTCTCAGAGCGAGGGGAACAGTGTTATAGTCATATTTTCTTTCATTTCTCAGAAATGATCATATGTAAATAAAAAAATTAAGTAGTTTGTTCAATTTTGAGTTTCACAAAGTAATGCAAAGTTGGAAAGTAAAGGGCCGTTCAAAGACACGCAGCAATTTGCTATCTAGAAATGACCTTTAAAAAGACATTAATGGTACATCCTAATATACAATATGTACGCAAGACAAAATATATGTGGGGAAAGACAAATATAAGAGAGTGAGTGAATTTTGGGAGGGAATTAGCCAAGAATAGAACAGCTTTTGTGTGACTGCTCAGTTTTATGTAAGAGCAGTTTCAAACTGAGTTTCACAGAGCACGTCCTGTTATCCATAGCAAGTTGGCCACCTGCACAAATGTTGACTTTCCTGGTTGTCACCTCCTGCAACACACCAACAGCAGATGGATGGACCATATTCTCAGCTGCAGTAAATGAATGCAGCTTTGCTCATCTTAGGGGAATTATGTCAATTTACACCAGCTGAAGAGCTGCCATGTTAAATATTTTTCTAGTAGTAGTTAACTGTGTAAGCTCCACCAGTGAGTAGAAGTCGCTCAGTCACCAAAAGGAGAGGAAGGAGAGCCAGCAGACCTCTGTTAGTACTGAAATGCTGGAGTCAATGTCATGTAAAATTAGCACACAGTTGAGTAGTACTGCAGTAGCCCAGATTAAAAGCACAATTCAGTGCGGTAGTAACAAAAAACGCCCAAACGGATATTTGGTATGTAGACACTTGCAGACCTTATTAAAGTTAATGCATTTCTTCCAGCATCAGTGAAAGGGCAGATGAAAGCAGTGAAGCTAGGAACAGCAGAAGCCACCACTCAAGCACTGAACCATGCTGAAAAGCCCATCAATTAGCAGGAAAGCAGTTTTCCCTGCAAGGGATTGTGAAATACAATCTAGGGACTCCTGGCTTGCTTATGTGCAAAGGGGTGTATGAAATGTGAGACAGTGAGCTGCAAGTAAGCTAGGGGCTCTAAAAAGCAACAGAGGCAGGCTGTGTGTCATCCCAGCACTCCCATAAAAGTAGATGAGGATCTCGGAACAGTGAGCTGCCTGTTGCTGGTCGCTCCTGCTGCATCCAGGCTGCCAAGACTTTTGTATGTTCTTCATTAGTAAATAACAATGTGTCCAAAAAACCCCCTGTTCATTGTAATCCAGTTGTCTTCCTAGCAGAAACAATTTAACATCATTCTAAAAATAGTCTAAGCACTTGGATGAATATTCCAAGAATATACATACATTCTTCCTCAGAGAATAACCAGTTTCTTCAACACTAACATCTGAAATTCATCCATATGATGACTGGCTGTGCAACAGCAATCAGGAAAGAGACCTGTGCTTAATGTTGATGGCAGGATTCTGTTTCCACATGGACAAAATAGTTGTCAGTTTTGTCCTTTCACTGTACAGGGAAGATGCTAGTGGTTAAATCTGTCAGATGAGTACAGCAAAGTTGAGTAGACTTGTTCAGTAAGGGAGCAATGTCCTCCCTGTTTATTTCTCTTCCTATACTGTTTAAATGTGACCAGATGGTCCATAACTCTCCTGACCACCCTAACACAGGCTGGACAGTGCTCATATGAATGAGCTTTCTTCTTTTTCAAGTCCTGAATCCTTATACTTCTTCTGGAACACTTTCCATGTTATGTAAAGAAGCTTACAATATAATTAACCCATGAAAAAAAGCCCTTGTCTTCAATGGAGAGTTGAACACATTTTCTATCTATAAAATTGTTACAACACACTTTTGCCCTTGGGAATAAAAAAAAAATATACAAAGTAAATCCAGTAACTATAAAAGCCCAGTATTTCTCTCTCTTCCTTCCCATTCTTCAGTTGCCAGGTTGGTGGATAACATGCAATACTTTATGTTATTTTACTATATAATATATTGGTCAAATTATGTCCTTGTGTATATCCAAATATGGTAGTTTGGAGCTAAGAGTATTTGCAAGCAGCTGGCAAAGGGAAATTGCAATACCACAGACTACAGAAATTGCTTATACCCCATATATCTGTCCCTTTTCTTGAGCGTGGCGTGACAGTCGCCCTTCCCTCACATGTCTCACCCTCTCATATTGAAAGGTTTTTATTTCATTCTGAGAAGGGAACAGGTGTTGTAATTAATGTATGTGTTGTGGCATCACTTAAAAATCCCAGGGGAGAATAAGGATTAACTACTGCGGCAGTTATTCTTCAGGTCTAGCAAAAACCAGTTTCACTTCCAGCATATACGCTGTGAAAATGTGTAAAAGAGGTAGCAGAGATTTGCTGGAGTTGTGGTCCACTACAGAACTGCAGAACCAGAAGTAAAAGCAAGGGCTGCTGCAATCGGGTCTTGTTGACCTTGATGCCTTTGCATGACTGATAACCTGAAACTTCTTTCTGTGGAGAAATGTACTAGAAGAATTTTGCTGCCATGAAAGTGCCAATAAAACTGAGCATACTGACACTTTATTTCAAAAAATAATGTTCTCCAAAGTAGAGTGAAGAGAATTGTCATTAATGTACTCATGGATAAAAAGCATTTGTCCTTTGATACTGTTTTTCACATTTGGTGACTGCCATTTTGCCAATGCAAATGAGAATACTTAAAAACGATTAGAGACAGAGTAATTCTGCCCATGCCTAAATACCCTTACTGTGGTGCATATTTGCAAGAGGACTAGCCATTTCTAGATACTTGCGCAAAATCCAAAACTGCTGACCCAAATATTAGCAAATAGTGAACAACTTGTATATAAACATTCATGAACATAGGATAGCAGTATTCAACCAGAAGGCTGCTGGGGACAAATGAGAAGATGCCTAATGCTTTGCAGAAACCCATTAGATGAATTCAGGAACAAAAGGCTTCAGTTTGCCAAGAAATGTGGTGGGGGCTTTCTTCTATTGCGATATTTAAAAGAAGCAAGGCCTGAACTTCAGTGGTGTATTGCAGTCATGCAGACAAGTAATTAAAATAATATATCTTAAAAGCAAATCATACTGTGTTTTTCAAAAAGCTGGTTTATTCCATTGATTAATGCATCCTTACTAGATGAATGAGTAGTAATTTTTATAAAGTGGGCTGAGGCAGAGTTGGAAGTTAGTGGGGAATATGTCTTAATATTGCTCTTAATGCAACTCGAGGGGTTGTTAACTGTGTAGTGCAGCTGCCCAGAGAGGTAGTGGAGGCCCCATCCCTAGAAACCTTCAAGGTCAGGTTGGATGGGGCTCTGAGCAACCTGATCTAGTTGAAGGTGTCCCTGCTCACTGCAGGGCAGTTGGGCTGGATGACCTCTAAACGTCCCTTTCAACCCAAAGCATTCTATGATTCTCTGTGCCATTAAAAAGGAACTCTGCATATTTTCAGCTGAGTGCACTCCCAGGCCAAATTCCCCTTCATGTGTGTTATTGGTATACTACAGTGATAAAAACCATGTGATGAATGTTTGATTTAATTAATGTTACTTTAACCTCTGCTGCTAGTCTCCCTTCATTTCTATATGATGAGTTTATTTTTTTTGTTAATTTATTTATCTGCTCTTGGTTCTAGTTGCCGTGTCCCTGAGGAATCAGAAAGTCATCATTCCCCAGGTTCCCGATGTCGATGTTGTGTCCGTGGCAGAGACTGTCTCAGTGCCAGATCTTAGCCAGTTTACACTGTGCTTTGAAGCAACCAAGGGCAGTAGTGATGACAATGACGACTGGAAGGTTTTCTCCTACACCGATACGTTGTCGACAGAATTCTTCAGCTTTGGGAAGACCACAGAAGGCCATTTTCTGTCCATCTCAGGCACACAGTGCCTCCTTGAGAATGCATTGCCCCAAAATGCAGAGTTTTTCACAGGAACCTTTCAACAGCTCTGTGTGGTAGGGGATAGCTTCTCAGGCAGTATAGGTATATATGCCAAAAGCACCTATCGTACAGTGTACTGTCCGGGAATCTTTGGCAAAGTTATCCCTGGAAACGGGAGGCTGGTGCTGGGCTCTAACAGCAATGACATGAGCTCTCTAAATGGGGACATTTACAACTTCCGCCTCTGGAATTTCACCATGAATGCGCAAACACTGGCCAACCTCAGCTGTGATGTGAAAGGAAACATTGTAGACTGGGAAAATGAATTCTGGAGTATTCCAACTTCAGCACTGAAAGCAGAAAACAATTTGAGTTGTGGTGAGTACGCCTTGCCAAATCTTTTTTCTTATTTCCCCCCACACACACACTTCTGCATTGTGCTGAACATATTGTACCAGCACAAAAAAAACCCAGAGTTCCTGTGAAAGAAAAACAGCTAGGTCTTACCTTTCTTAGACCTTAGCTCAACTCTTACCATACACAGAGTCTTTGAAAGGGTATAGAGTTGATTCCCTAAAGGAAAAGGACAAATTCCCAAAGTATATCGAGTTGCTGCTTGAAATGATCTGCAGATCAAAGTTTTTCCGAAATGTTTGTTTATTGGCCTTCTACTCATACAAAATGGGGATAACAGGCAAGTACCTGCTAGCCTCAAGTAAGATTACAGTGGTATCTGGAGAAAAAAAATGTGTGTTAACTAACCATTTAGTAAATGTTTTTGTACCTGCCCTTTGATTAGCCAGAAGGAGCACTTGCAAGCCTTGTGCTGTGTGTGCAGAGCCAGCAAAAACAGTGACAAAATGACAATGCATATGAGACAGAAACATATGAGAAAAGATTAAATTAGAGGAGGCAGCTAGGAAGGAAGAGTTTTAGATGAAAATCATTGGGTTTTATCTTCCTGATGACATATTGTCAGTCCTTCTTTTAATTGGTAATTACTGAAGGTCTTTCTGCCTGCAGATTACTCCAGAAGATAAATTTCAATACATTGTCCAACCTATTCTCATTTCATGGCTCAGACACTTGATTCTCATAAGTGTCCAGGTGTAACTTTTATATATGTATATGTTTTTACAGCTGGTTGACAATTTTCTACTGGAACATTTTTTCCAGATGAAAAAAAATCAAAACTGAAAACTCTTTGTCACTTTGGACCAGTTTTTTGTTTGTGTTTTTTTGTTGTGGTTTTTTTTTTTTATTTTAAGAATGTTTTGGTTAGTAACAGCTTTAGAGATACTTGGATAATTATAAAATGCATAGGGGAAAATCTTGAATCGTGGCCAGCGGTAGCCTATACACTCATATATGATGCTTGTGGAAATCAACTGCTATCAAACTCCATGACCACAGAGTCTGAGCCCTCCTATAGTAGCAAACACACATTTGTTAAAAAAAAAAAAAAAAAACAAAAAACAAAAAGTCAAAGTAAACAGTTACAAATACTGGTTCTTTCTGAACCACGTGGGGTCTCTTCATATTTAATGTTGTCCTCTCCAATTTTGACTTCTTGTGCCTCTGACACCTTACTACTTACTAGTTTAAACACAGTTTAAATAGTGTCAATATAAACGCCTCCTGATAGAGCATCTGTTAGTGCTCTGTGAATCCTTAGCTTAAAACAGAGACTGACATCATTAAGGTGTGCTAGTTTCTGTATCTAATAGCTCATGAGGGATTAAGGTAGCTAAAAAAAACCATCTTGCTTGCTTTACTCAAACCAAAATATGAGGTACTCATTCACACCTAGACTCACTGGGACAGCTCTCAGTATGCCTCTGCTAAAAGAATTTAAGAAACACCTCTATAAAAACATGAACAACTAGGTGCTGTCACCCCTCTACCGGAACAAAGAAAAGGCTGATCTAAACATTGACTGTGACTGATGAAGGTGTCCTGGGCAAAAAAGTTGTTGCTTTTCCATCAGTACAAACAGATCCAACAGAAAATAACTTCCCAGAAAATCTTACTGCTCTTAGACTGTTTATACCATGAAGGCTACCACAAGACTTTTCCTAAACAACCTACCAAGACCTCTGTAAGTGTTGCAGTCTCATTTAATATTGAGTGGAGTATGAGTCTTGTCCTTCTTTCTTGTAAAGACTGTACAGTCCTGTGACAGAAATGTAATATCATAGCTGTGGTCATAGAAAAAATACACTTACTTTCATTCCACAGTTTTATTCCTTGGGATGTCATTGTTCAGCCATTTCCTTACAGCAGAACATTATTTTAGAAAACATATATTAGCATTCATATGTTAGGCCCAAGTGTCTATACAAGCCACTTCAAATGTATCTATATATAAAAGCATGTTAATTCCTCTAACTAAGCCTATGAGAAAACTAGCTCACCAGTCAGTCGTCTTCTTTTGAAGATGTTAAGTCACCCACTATGATACAGGCTTTCCTGAGCCAGTGTTTCCTAAAAGAAAATACTGTGTGCAGTGCCATTTCAAAAATGGTTACTAATCCCAGAGATGGACTTGTTAGCATTTTCTTCCCTTCATCTTCTTGAATAAAAGCCCTCATTGTAAAACCAGCCTTCGACAGGAAGGTTGATGAGTCAGGCTATCAACCATGAATAAACCACTGACAGTGGGGAGATGACTCTGATTAGGCTTCATTTAGCAGCAATGGAAGGATTTATACAGAAAAGAGGTTTTTGCACAGCTCCAATAACGCTTCCCCAGGAAGTGGCATGTAACTTTAAAAAAAACAAACCAAGCATTTAGCAGTGATCTCAACATATCTGTGCCTGAACAGTGCTTGCATTTTTCAAGGGGTATTATTTTCATGGTTTTTCAGACAAAGCTTTTACAAGTAGATTTACGGAGCATAAAAACACTGGCAAATTGTTCCAGATAATCTTTTCATAGTTTTACCTTCTCCTAGTTTATTCCTTAGACTAATGTTTTCACAGCTGTGCAGTCATGGTGGGATGTTTCTGGAAGACTTGACAGAATTCTGTTTTTATTGCCATACCTTCACACAGCTTGCATTTAAAGGTATATGTACACGGCCTGGGTATCCCGACTAATTTTAAAACAAGTAGCCTAGCAATAGTGGTGTAACACCACCAGTTCAGAGCCCAGTGCATTCAAACTGAGGAGCATTTAATCAACTTCTGGTACTGATTTTGGAGCCTGCACTGGCTACACCTATAGCAGGATATGATTTACTCAGTTTAAGGGTAATGTGGCTGCATGTCTGTCCATGCCTGCAATTGCATTTGCTTCACGTATACTTCATATGAGCCCTTCATTCCCAAAGGCCAGAGGAATTCTTAATTTCGCTGTCAGATTTAACTCAGGGTGGGATCTGTCTGCCTTAGGGAGCTGAATGATGTTTCAGGCTGAGCTAATTGCCCTTAGTGCTGTTTATGAATAGTGGAATGAAAAAGGCTGTTCCAAAGGTCAGTGCATCTCATACTGGAGAATATGTCTCAGGGAAGTCAGAACTTTTTTTGCTGTAGGAGTGCCTGTTCCTCTCCACTGACTATAAAGAAAGTCTAGCATGACTAGCAGATACGGATGGCTGACTTTTAGACATTTGAAGTGAGTGAGATGTATCACACAAAGTGTGCATAATACAGGTCCATATCTGCTGTTCACATTACTGACCGTGCCACTTGGCTTCATAAAGTAGCTTATGCAAAGTACCTGTTTGCATCCAATCATTATATTTTCTTGACTGGCCAGAATTCAACCCAATTAAAACTTTAAAAAGCTTATTGAATATATTCACTGAAAATATTCCTCTTTAAAGTATACACTTTTCTGACTTAGGTGTTTTGTAAAGTTGCATTAGATTTTTTTTAGTTTCACCAAATAAAATCACGATCTTTTTTTAAATACTCACTGAATAAAATATGGAGGTCCACAGATTTTCCAAGCCAACTTTCAGGTAATCTTTCCACAATGCAGAACCAAGTATTAGCAAATATATTTTAGGGGGAAAAAAAAAAATCTCCCACAGGAGGTAGTCAGTTCACTTAGAACACCCTTCCTGGAGTTCATAGAAAGTGTACCAAGGAATTGAATTTGTCTGTACCTCTTAATCGATTTAAAAAAAGAATAAAAATGGTGAGCTTTAATATTTGTTGAGGACCACATGTTTTAAATTCTGCCCTATTTTTGTTGGCAATGCATGTAATGGTATCTGTGGCGTGCAGTGATTTCTGTGTCAAGGCCCTACGCTTAATCTGTTCTTGCATCACAGGAAATATTTTCCTAGCTATCTTTATGACTTTATGGGTGGTAGCTCTGTAATTTTATGGAAGGATACAACGTTTCATGAGAGAACCTCACTGGGTCAATATGATTCTGAAGTTGTAAAGCAAAAGCCAAAAGCGCAACACTCCCAGTAGGTTCAGATTATGCCATGCTCTATGGCCCCATTATTTTCAACACAGTGTGCAAAAGCAGCTGTATCA